TATTTAAAAAAAAAATTGTATTTTAAAAAAAAAAAAAAAAAAAAAAAAAAAAGCTGAAATAAACTTTCATTTATTTTAAATTAAAAAAAAAAAAAAATAAAATAAAAGGATTTATATAAAGAAAAAGGTTTGATACAAATAAAAATAATGATTTAAAAATAAGAAATATGTTTTACAAGTATATATAAACTCACTTATAATGTTATGTAAAAAAATTAAAAAATAAATATGATTTTAAGAAGTAACGAAACACTTTAAATCTATTAATTTAGTATTATTAAAATAACAAAACAGAAAATATAAATATATATATTTATAAATATATATATAAACAAGTAAATAAATTTTATATCATTTTATAACTATATTATAATAAAAGGTAATATGATATCATACAATAGATCATTTTATTAAAAATTAAAGTTTAGTCTTTTTCTCATTTTATTTACAAAAGTATTAAGATAATTAAAGTTTTTAGAGATACTTATTTTCTTTTGTGTGTGTAAAATATTTTCTTTGGAGTAGTTATAGATATGAAAACATAAAAAAAAAAAAAATATTATAAAATTGTTCATATAAATTAATTTAAAAAGATTAGAAAATAAAATAAATTTAGACTTTGAAAAACAAATTTAAAATCATTTTACATACAGCATCCATTTTCTTTTTATTATAGATTATATATTTTTACTTTTCCCTTATTAAAATAAAAAAACAATTTATATATTTCCATATATATATTTTACAAACCTAGAACTATAATATTAAACTTAAAAAAAAAATAATAATATATATATTCATAAATAGTAAATTTTTTTTTTTATTGTATTTATATAAATTTAATTAAAAATTATATTAGAAAAATTTTTAATATTTAAAATATTATTTTATCTAATATCTTTTAAGAAAAAATTTAGGTAATTTTTTTTTAATTTACAAGAAAAAAATTTTTTTACTTAATTATTCTACAATGTAAAAAAAAAAAATGTTAAAATGGTTTTTAATGATTAACTTAAAATTTTTTGTTTTTTATAATTACTCGTATTCTTGGTACTTGGTAAATCATACGATTCTATAAAAATATGAAATAATATAATAAAAAAAATTTTTTTTTTTTAAAGTTTTTTTAGAACTAACAAAGAAAACTAATTTTTTTTTTTTTTTCTTTTATATGTAAATTTTTAATTTATAAAAAGAAAAAAAAAAAAAAAATTATATTTGTATATTTATATATATATAAAGAATTCTTTCTAATTAGTGGAAAAAAAATTACTCAATTTTTGTATTTTAGAATTAAAATTGATTAATTTATTTAACAAAAATTCTATATAAATATATATATATATATATATATATATCTATTTTAGTTTTTTAATTACTGTTTAATTTATAAAATTTTATTATTTATTTATTAAATTATCATTTTCTTTATAATTTATTATTAAAGGAATTCACTTAGTAAAACATTGTTTATTTTAATCTCTTTTTAATTGAATAATTTTTATTTTTTCTACTTTTTTTCTAAAATGACATTAAAAAAATTTACCTTATTAAGTTTTGTTTTAATAGTAGCTTTTCTACATAAACAATTAAAAAATGATTTTTTTTTATTTAAGTTTTTTAAAGTTAATAGTGTAATAGTAGGAAAAACGGCAAATGACTATGCGTTAAATGAAGCAATAAGTACTATTTTAAAACATGCACCTGAAGAAAATGAAACGGAAATTTATGATAATATTAACAAAGTAATGAGTGAAGCATATAATAATTTTAACACAAGAAAAATATTAATAAGAATATCTTATTTAATTGAAAATGGGAAGTTAGATTATTTATGTGATAAAAATTATTTAAAAATTATATTAGGAATTCCTCAAATAATATCAAGTGCTGAATTATTAGAAGATTTGAAACTATATAAATTAAAAAAATTAATAGAAAATATTGTAAATTCTTTAGTTATTTGTAAACCTAAAGATTTTAAAAGAAAATTTTATTTAGAATCAGGTGGGTGTCAATCAGATTCAGACAAGGCTATCATTTTTGATAATGGAAAATTAAAAAAAAGAAATAGTTTACAATTAAAACCAAAAAATAAATTTTTTAGCATACTGCTAAAATGTTCAGTTGATAACCTTGGTTCTGGAGATAAAACGATGGTATGCGTTAAAGAGGAATTATCTAAAGAAAATTTGAAAATTTCGGAAAGTTGCTCAAACTGTTTTAAAGATTCAGTTGATTGTGGTAAATCAAATTGTTGGTTATCATGCTTATTTAGTGATCCTTGTGGAGATAATTGTTTTCATTGTGGTGTTAATTATTGTAAAAAAGATTTAATTAGTTGCACTGGTTTAAAAAATTTACCAGATGCATGCATATAAATATTTTAATCTTCCTAAAAAAATATTTCAAAAAAAAAAAAAGCAAAATATAAAATATGAATAAATTACTTTTAAAAAAAAAAGTAAGATTAAATAGGTCTATACATATATATATATATATGATTTAATCTATTTACTATTTAAAATAGAAAAAAGAATGATGGATTTTTGTAATCAATTTATTAATATACACAAATACTTTTTTTTTTTGGTTTCCTTCTCGTTTTTTAATGTGATTTGTTTATATTCTATATCTTAATAGATAATTTAGAAAATGCAAAATTTTTTCTATAAATAATTATTTTCAACAATTTGATGCTCTATTGTTTAGTTATCGAGTAAAATATTAAGAGATAAAAAAAAAAATTTTTAATTAAGCTAATATTAATTGAGAAATGTTATATATATAAATTATAAAAAAAATATATATTTCTTTTTTTTTTTTATTATGTTGTTATTGGAACTGTTGTAAATGATAAAACATTTCTTATCCATGGAAATCTATTAATAATATAAAGGATAGATATAAAAAATTGTAATATAATAAAAACAATAATTAATAATGAAGAATGAAAATATAAACAAGATAATATATTTAAAATTATGCAAACAAAATAAGATATAAATAAGGCTTTTTGATTTAAGTAAAATTCTTCATTTCTGTTTTGAGATCTCTGATAAGGTGTTAAGAGAGAAGAAAAACTAAACAATAAAAAAATGTTACCCATAGAATATCTAAAAGCAAATAATTTTACATTTCCTATTATTATCAGAGGAATTGCACCTAAACTTAAAAACAAAAATAATATTCCTAATAAAAAAAATATAATAAAAATAGCAATTCTTTCAAATAATGACAATGTCAATATATTTTCAAAGATATTGTTTTCCCTGTTGTTTTCATTCAAATTATAATGTTCCCTTAATAAATATTCATGCATCTTTCTTATATTGCATATAAGTGATTTATAATTTTATGAAATAAAATAGAAATATTACAAAGAAAATAAAAATAAAGCCATATATATACACATAATGTATAATTTATGACTAAATTTGTAGTTTAAACAAATTGTAATTTAGAATAAATTATCACAATATATAGAAAATTTATTAAAAATTAATACATAAAAATAATTATATAATTTCCATGGGATATTTTGTCTAAGCATTTTATCACTAATTTTTTTACTATTTTAATAATTATTAAAATAATGTATGTAAATACTTAACAAAAACAATATAAAAATATTTAAAAAAAAAAAATAATAAAATAAAATAAAATTAATATGAATATGCATAATATTTACGTTAATAATGAAAATTATTCATATTTATTTGGAAATTTATAAATTAATTTTTTTCTAATAAGAAATTCTGAAATTTTCTTTTTTTCTTTACCCCTACAATTAAAAAAGTATATATATAGTATATATATATATATATAAATAGATAAATAAATAGATAAATATATAGATAAATATATAGATAAATATATAGATAAATATATAGATAAATATATAGATATATAGTTATTTATTATTTTAATCAAAAAATACTTAAAAAAATTATCAACCAAAATTTTATTTTTCTTTTCAATTTCGTTTGCATTCATTCGTATTTATCGGTAACTTTTTTAAATAAAAAGATTTAAATAATAAATTTTAAAAGATTATAAAAATGAGTGTTGATATATATATATATTTTTTCTATTTGACAAAAATAAAAAAGATACATTTACTAAAAAATACCAAAATAACTCTTCTAACTCATGCATATAATTTTATAGTAGATATACAATTAAAAAAAAAAAAAAAATAGTATGTTTTATATAATTTACAAAATAAAATAGGAAAAATGTATGTGCATGTATGTGAATTTTATATTTAATTTAATGATACTTATTTTATTTTTATTCTCTATTTTATTATTTTTCCTTTATGTTTATATTATCTTCATTTTTTATAATATAGCATGTTTAATAGAAAGAATAAATAAATTCAGGTTAATATTTTTTGTTAAATATATATTAGGATACTTAGCTATTAATTTTAATATTTTTATGTATTTTATAAAATATTATCTTTTCTTTTTGTACAATTTTTTGTTTTTTAAATAATTTTAATTAAACAATATTTTGTTCTAGATTATAACAATTATTTTTTCTATTTTATTAGAATTTTAATTACAAGGTCCTTTTAATATTTTTATATATATTTATAATTTATTATTACTATATACAAGACAAAAACATATATTAAAAATGGAATTTTTAAAATAATAATCTTAATAATAGAAAAAAAATGTTCTACAATTGCGTGCAGCAAATCATTTTATTCTTTAGACTAAAAATAAAAAATTTTATATAAAAAGACTCATAAGAAAGTATAATTTTTTCTTATAGAATTAAAATATGTATTATTAAGTCATTTTCACTTTTTTTTAATATAAATTTTGATAAGAAGTTTCCCCATAAAAAACTTTTAAAAATAAAATTGTTTTTTTTATTTATTTTATTAATATGAAATATTAATATAAAATACTTTTTGCTATTTTTTGTTATATAATAATAAAATAAATTATTTAAATAAGACAAAAACATAATATTTTATTATTTCATTTTGATCAACATATATAACTATTTAATGAAATTATTTATATATAATATACAATTTATGTGCCTGTTTTCTTTATTCTTTTATTATATTTTATTAATGCAACTTCCTAAAACTCAAATTATAAGACAAACACAAAAGAAAATAAAGTAAAAATATAAACATAACATTTATGATTTTTATTATAAATTTTCATCATTTTATATATGTTTTTTAAATAGTTTAATTTGACTTAAAAAATTCATAAAAAAATAATAGACATAAAAATCCTTAAAAAAATGATAAAACAATCCACAAATTTAAATGTCAATTAAATTTACATTACCATAAAAAATTAAACTATGCAAAGATACTTTTTTTCCTTTTCTCTTTTATTATTTTTTTTTTTTTTTGCATATAGAATTGAATATAAACATAATATATATATATATATATATATATATATATATATATATATATATATTTTTATAACATATAAATTAATTAATGATCTATGTAATTTTTAAATGAGTATTGTAGCATTTTGTAGAATATTATAAAATTTATTTATGCAAATTATGGCGATAAAAAATTAAAATGGCAAATCTGAAGAATTATTTTTACGAAATAATTTTTTTATATATGAATATAAAGCATTAATTAACATTTTAATTGCTTCTGATCCACCTATTATATAAAAAAAAAAAAAAAAAAAAAAAAAAAAAAAGCACATATAAAGTTAATATTTTTTTTAATGGATATAAAAAGAATATGAATACATTCATACTTAAGTTATACAGATTTTTATTTATTTATTTTTCTCTTTTTTTTTTTACATACCAGGTATATAAGAAACAATAAATGAAATAAGTGCTAATACTTGCACAATTGATGTAATTAGTGCCTATAAATATTAAAAATGAGAAAAAAATATATTATTTTTATACAAAAATTTATTACGTTTAAATAAAATAATAAATTCTTTAAAATATAAAAAAGAATTGTGTTAATGAGAAAATAAAAAAAAATATATGTATATATATATATATATATATATATGTTCTTACTAATAAATATAAAGGGCTAATTACAGTGAAATATAAGGTAGAAACTAAAGATAATATATATGCTGTCGTAAATGGAAGACTGATGAAAAAAAAAAAAAGAAAAAAAATATTAATATATTTTTTTAATAATTTCAAAATAAATACATATGAAGTTTCACTAAAATGTTATAAATATAAAGAAAATATTTTGTTATTTTTTTCTAACCGTTTTTTTTCTAATAGATGAAAGTACAAACTTGAAAACCCTTTCAAAAATGCTAATGAAGAAACAAATGAAATAGAAGATAAAGTGAAAAAAAAACCAAATTGCCTTGGAGCTATAACAATCATTGGTAAAGTTAAAAATGATAAAATCATAAACAAAACACTAACACCAAATAAGACACAAAATAAAGGAAAATTTTTATAAGATAATAATGCTGTAAAACCAAAAAAAGTATTTGATTCATTATTCCTATTTTGATTATTAAATAAAGGAAAATTTGAAAAAATAGACTCTGTTTCTGCAGCAGTTGAATTCGATGATATGGATGGAGTATTTGTTAAATTCGTTTTTTCTAATGTTGCTTTAAAACCTTTTTGTATATTTTCAGCTCCCTTTTTTGATAATCCAATTGCTTTTTCTATTAATCCTTTTTCTTCTTCATTCTTATTATTGTCCATTGAACCTTTTAAAAATTCATTATTTAAATTTTGAAATTCATTATTTTCAAAAAAAGACAAACCTTCATATTTATTTCCACTCATTATTATATAGCTTCTTATTTTTTAATTCACACACATAAATATACACATAAAAAATATATATTTTAATTTTTAATATATATATATAAAAAAAAAAAAAAAAAAAAAGGAAAATTAGGGGAAGAAATTTTATTTTCTTTTATTATAAAAATTTAATAAACTATTCTGTATGAAAAAAGATCATAACTTTAGTTTTTTTTTTTTTTAAAAAAAACTATATATAAAATTATGTACATATATTTACAGCGAAAATTTTAAAAAAAATATACACAAATATTTATACACATATATATATATATATATAAAAAAAAAAAAAAAAAAAAAATCTAAATATCATAATGAAAATAATAGAAAAAAAAAATTAAAAAATTAAAATTAAAATTAGAAAGAAAAAATAAAAAAAATACGCTTTCTTGTTTTTTTAATAATCTAAAATGTTAACGCTATTTTTGCTTTAATAATCTTCTAAAAAGCTTAATATGTTAATTATAACTCAAAATGAACAAAAACATTGTAATTTTACGTTTAATTTTTGTTATTAAAATAAAACTAATAAAAAATATATATATATATATATATTAAAAAAAAATAAAGAAAAACAAAACTAAATAATGCGCAAAAATAAATATATTTTTTTGTGTTTATTAAAATAAATATTTTGAAAATAATGCTAATTATAAAATTAAATGAAATAAAGATATTGCAATACCTTTACTAATTATACAAATTTTTAATGATATAAGTTATAGCAATTTTATTAGTAATGAGAACTTTTATAAAACCAAATATAAAAAATAAAAGAAAATTTTAATTATTAAATATTATTATTAACATTCTTATGTATGGTTTTAAAAAACATTGATAACTTTATTTTATAGAACTAAGGTCTCTATAATACTATATTCCTTTATAGGTTAAATTTTTTTTTTTTTTTTAAATATTTTTTCTTGTATAAAAATAATTCTTACTACAATAAATAAAAACAGCTATATTTTTTATGAAAAATAAAAAACTATATTTTATTAAGCATATAAATAATTTATGGGTGAATTATGAAACATAATTTTTTTTTTTTTTTTTTTATATGAGTTTTCACATCTATTTCAGTTTTTCCATTTAAAAAAAAAAATTAAAAATTAAAAAAAAAGCAAATCAAAGTAAATGAAAAGGTAAAATAAAACTAAAAAAGTAAAAACAAATTAAAATGAAAAAAAAAAATGAAAAAATAAAAAATAAATGGATGAAATTGTAACAAAAAAAATAAAATTATCAGAATAAAATTTTTTTTCCATTTTATTTTAACAAATTGTAATGATATATAGATTTCAATGTATGAATTTACTTATTTTTAACTATACATTGTTGAAGTACTAAAAAACTTTTTTTTTTTTATAATATATTTAATTTTTTTTTTCTCTAAAATAAACATAGAAAGAAAACCACTTTATATCATTATATATTAATAATTAAGACAAGAATTACAATAACATAATGTCTATAAAAGAAAAATAAAATAAAAAAATAAAAATGAATAATTCAAAAAATAATATATCTTTTCAAGTAACAAATTATAAATATATAAAATAAAAATTTTAATTCTAAAAAAGGAATTAGAAATAATTAAAAAAAACCGTTCCTTATTATACTCCTATGAAATATGATTTTTTTTTTTTTTTTTTTTTTTTTGAAATAGAAAAACCCAATAAAATTTTATAAAAGTATATGCAATTATTTTTAAATGGCTTCAATCTTAGTGATATTATAGATTTAAGACAGATTAAATAAAAAGGATTTCAAAATAAAGGAGAGTCATATATAGTCTTTATTTTTTCTGTATTTGATTTAAATTAAAATATATGAATATAAACATAATTCAGAAAATAAATAAAAATATATAGATTTTTTTTTTTTTTTTTTTATATATATATGATAACCAAAAGAATACTATAAAAAATAACTAAAAAATTTTAGAAATTCCAACTTTTTTTTGTTTTCTTAATCTGTAAATTATCCTAAATGATAAATGTAAAAAATAAAATTATATGTATTATTCATAAAGATAATTTGTCAATTTTAGCTCTTTGAAAATATATTTTTTTAATTTTTTTTTTATGTATCTAATTTATTGTTTTATATATATATATATATATAATATTATAGCAAAGTTATTACAAATTTATAATATAATATGTAATTAAATGAACAGAAATTCATAATATCTTTATTACTTTCCGTTGTTTATTTTTATATTTTTTTTTCAAGTAATATCTCAAATATATATATATATATAAAGGTAAAGCAAATAATAAACATTAATACTAATAATAAAATGTTTATTTGAATTTATTCCTCCATGCACATTAAAAATATAAATCCCTATGAAGCCTCTCCCTAAAAAAAATTTTTTTTTTTTTTTTTTTTTTTTTAATATATATTAAAAAATACCAGTAAACTAAATAAGAAATAAATTAATCTGTTTTAATATAATAATAGCTAATTAAAAAAAAAAAAAAAAAAAAAAAAAGAAAAGAAAAGAAAAAGGTAGGAAAAAAGCCTAAATAAATTAAGTGTAGAATTCAGACTTAATTTCTATAATAAAAATAAAATAGAAAAAATCATATTATTATTTAACGTTTAAATATATATTTATTTTTTTTTTTTTTTTGTTTTTTTTCAAATAAATTTTTATTTGCAAAAATATATGATATATATAAATTATTATTTTTTTTTTTTTTATTTAAAGGCAAGTTGAATCCCATACACTATTAGTAATAAAATAGGCATTTATTAATGAACCTCCAAAATATCTACCATTTAAAAATTGAAATGCTTTTAAAGATTCTTCTTCATTAGAATATTTAATATAAATTTTACCATCTATATTTTTTGTGTTTAACCATATTTTAACAACATTTCCATATTTTTTACATTCTTCTTTAACATCTTCAATTATATCATTAAAAAAATCAGGATCACTTCCTATATTATTATCATTTGGTGAAAACATATTACTCAACACTAAATTTTCTGTAACATTATTTAATGGATTATTATGTACTAATGAATTTTTATTCATTAATACATTTCCTCCTGAAGCATATTTAATAGGTATCTGAAAAAAAAAAAAAAAAAAGAAAAAGATATATCATAAAAAAGATATATGAAAAAATATAGGTATTATAAAATTATATTTAAGGAATAAATAAATTTTACATTATTGTCAATTATGTTATCTCTTTGTAATTTTTGCATCAAAGCTATTTTACTTCCTGCTCCTGCTATTAACCCCCCACCATCATCATCATCATTATCTATTTTTTCATTATCTTGTTCAGCATCTTCATTTTTTATTTTCTTTATCATTTGCTGTTTTTGTAAAATATTTTCTTGGGTATTATCACAAGCTAAAAGGTATTTTGAATCTTGAGCATAACCAACTTTAATTTCTCTTCCAGCTACTTCCATTCCATTCATAACTGTCATTGCTTCAATAGCTTCTGAAGCTTTATGAAATTGAATGAATCCAAAACCTTTTGATTTACCTGTGTAAGGATCTCTATGAATTTCTACATCTAAAATTTCCCCAAATGGATTAAATAATTGTTTTAATTCTTGCTCAGATATGTTACTTAGAGGTCCTAGTAAACCTCCTATATATAATTTTAATGGAATATCATTAGGATCAATCGGTTGGTGTTTTGCAGCTTTTGCTGCCCTATTTTTTTCTGCTTGTGATGATTGTATTTTAATAGGTTTATTTTTTAACATATATCCATTGGCAGCTAAGGCTTTTATTACAGATTCTTGAGTGTAAAATTCTACATATGCTACTCCTTTTGATTTTCCTGATCTCTGGTCTTTTATGCATTGAATATCTCTTACTTTTCCTGCTACTTCAGAAAAAAATTCATATATGTCTCTCTCATCCGCTTTTAAACTTAAATTTAATACTAAAACAGTAAGATCATCTCTCTTTGCTTCTTCCATTTCCTCTTTTAGTCTTCTTTCTTCTCTTTTTTTTTCTCTTATCATTCTTTCTTTTTCTCTTTCCAGTTCTCTTTCTCTTTCTCTCTCTCTCTCTCTCTCTCTTTCTCTCCTTATTCTTTCTCTTTCTCTCTCTCTTTCCCTTCTTATTTTTTCTCTTATTCTTTCTTTTTCTCTTTCTCTTTTTTCTTTTTCTTTCTCTCTTTCTCTTTTTCTTTCCCTTTCTTTATCCTTCCTTTTTAATTTATCATGTTTATTATGCCTTCTTTTTTTGCTACTTCTTGATCTATAATAATGATCATCATCACTTGAATAAGTTTCGCTACTAGAATAGGATCTTTTTCTTTTATTAGAACTATCCTCATGATTACTTGAACTATATTCACTTGAGGAAGAGTAATCTTCTACCATTTTTTTTTCATAACTTGTATCGTTTTTACTTTTTCTTTTTCTTTTTTTTCTATTTCTTTCTTCAGAAGAGCTATAATCATCATCACTATATATTTTATTTGATGAACTTCGTTCATCACTAGTGTAATTTTTTTTATTTATTTCTTTCTTTTTATATTTTTCTTTTTCCCCTTCTCTCTTATCATTATCTTCACCTTCGTCATTCTTTTCATCCTCTTCTTCTTTGTCTTCTTTTGAATCTGAAGGTAGTTGTAAATTCTTGTCATCATTGCATTTTTCATTTTTACTATTATGTTTTCTTTTTTCTTCATTAGATAAGTTTCTATTTTCCTGATTATAAATTTTATTATCATTATCATCATCATTATCACTGTTACTGTAATCTTTTTTTGATTTTTTTTGTGATTTACTAATTTTTTCTTTAATCTTATTTTTTCTTTCTTCTACCTTACTAATTCTATCTTCAAAAGAACAAGAATTTTCACTACTTAAATCTACATCTTTATTATTATTTTTTTTTATATATACTACACTTTCATTATTAGATTCAACAGAACTATTAATTTCATGTATTTCATTTTTTTCATTTAATATATTTATTTTTATATTGTCTTCTATTTTATTATTGCCTTTAACTGGTATTGATGATCTTTTATGCAAAGTTTTATCTTCCTCTAATTGTTTTCTTAGGTTTTTCTTTTCATTTTCTTCGCTATATTCATCATTAAATTTTATTTTTTCTTCCTTTTTTCCTTTTTTTTTTTCGTTCATAAATTTTTTATCAAAGTCATTTTTTAAAATAAATGTTTCATCTTCGCGAGTACTATTTTCATAATTATTTTCATCATTTTCAATTTTTTCACTATGGAATTTATTACTTTTTATAGTATTTAATTCTTTATTTTCATTTATTTCATTTTTAATATTTCCATTTATATTTATATTCGGATTTTTATTTTCGAGAAGTTTTTCTACTGCATCAAAATATAAGTGATCTTCCATTTTTTAAACATTTTTTTAAGATATATAAAAAAAAAAAAAAAAAATTATATTTTTTATTTCTTATATTAATATTTATTAAATATTACTTAATTTATTTATCAAATATTCATTTAATGTTGACTTTGTTGCTATTAATTAATAACAATTCATTAATTTATATATTTTTATTTTTGTTTTCTTCCTCATATATATATCTATTTAAAAAGGTATTTATTTTAGTTTTATTTTTTATAATGTTAATTAATATATTAATTTTTTTATTTTTTTTTTTTTTTTTCTATATTTGTAATTTTTTAAATTATTATTTTTATTACATACATGCCTTATTTAATATACAAATATGTATCATCTATGTATGAAATTGATATTTCATTTAATTGAATTTATGCTATTTCTTTAAAAAAAATATATTTTTTAAAAATATAAAATTAATTTAAATAAATAAAAAATTTTAAATTTCTTTTTTAATTTTTTTAATCTATACAAAATAATTTAATATTAAAATTTTTAGTTGAATATTTTAATATTTTTTGTACATAAAAAAAAAAAAAAAAAAAAAAAAAAAAAAAAAAAAAAAAAATAGGGCAAATAAGTTATTCGTTAATGTTTAACGATAATTTTAATAGTTTTAAAAATAATTAAAAGGAAATGATTTTTAATAATTACTTCAAATATTTATACCATAATAAAGGAAAAAAAATTATTTCACAATTAATCTGGTTGCAATTTTTATTTAAATGATTTCATTTTACTATAAATACGATTTTTGGGTATTTATTTTTTTAATTTTTTTCCATTTCACATTGTACTAGTGTGCAATATTTTTTAATATACCCTTATAACTAAGTTTTATTTTATTCTTTTTATAATTAAATATCGTATAGAGAAAAATAATAAAATTATATTTTACTATCTATTCTAATTTAAATGTGTTTTAAATTATTATTATAAAAATGAAGAAAAACTAGAATAATATTTATGTTTAAAGAAAATCCTGTAATTATATGACAATATTTAAATATATATTTTTCTCTTTTATCATAAGAAGCTGTAAAATGCTAAATAATTAAATTATTAAACATTATATTTATTAATGTGTAAAGAATACAAAATAAACCATAAAAATGTAATTTCAAATTATCAAATATAAATAGAATAATAATATTTCTTTTTTTTTTTTTTTTTTTTATACTTTATTGATAATGGATATTGCAAGAAAAAAGATAAGACAATATGCATAAAAAAGTTTGTAGGACTTTTTAATTTGTTAATGCATATATATATATGTACTTCTGTATATAAAAATGCAAAAATTTTAATGTTTCAAATTTAAATCTAATAAATTGTAGATTTTTATGTATCTTAACATTTTGCACATAGAGATTATTTCATTTTTATCTAAAAAAAAGTTAATAAATAAATGAGAAAAAAAAATAAACACATAAATAATTTAAAAATATTGTGGTAAAAAAAAAAAAAAACTAATAATTTTCTTAAAAATAATTTGAAACTGTAATAAAATATAATGTATAATATATTATATAAATATTAATATATAAAATTTGTTTTTATAAGAGCTAGATATATAAAGTTAAAACTTCAAAACTCTTAAGAATCTTAAAAATTAAAAATTTTTTAAGCATATAATACAGTTATTTTTTTTTTGTAGTACAATTTTTGCACATTTTGAAAAATTTATAACATGAATTTATGATTAAATAAACATATAACTTATTAGCTCATTTTATTTTTAAGGAAAAAAAAAGGTATCAAAACTTTTTGTTAAAAAAATAAAATATAAAATTATATTTTAAACATATATTTTTTCTTCATTTTTATAACTTTTTTTTTTTTAATTTTAAATGATAATAATGTTAAAAATAATAAAAAATTTCATATTTTTTTTATTTAAAATTTTAAATATCATGTCAAAATATATATTAATATATAAATTATCCACTTTCCTGATTTTTTTTTTTTTTTTCTTTATGAAAATACTGTAAGTTATTTCTTCCTTACATTTCTTTTTATTATTCTGAATATATATTCATATTTGTATAGAAAATGGAGAGTTAAAAAAAAAGTGTTATTTTGTTATAAATAGTTTCCAATAAGAAAAAAGTATTTTAAAATAAATTATAAAATAAATAAAAATATGAATAGATTTAAATAAAAATTCATATGAATTTTTTAAAAAAAATACTTATCCATAACATATTTACTTAAAAAAAAAAAATATATGTGTTGCATTTTTCAATATATATAAGGAAACTTTATTATTTTTATTTAAAATGCAACATGTGGAAAATAAAAGAAATAAATGATTAGAAGTTTAACAAAAAAAGTATTAAAAACATGTAGAATATAATAAATATATGAATTAAATAAAATAATTAAAAAAATTTTTAAAATGCTATAAAAAGGCATATTTTAAAAAATTTAGAACTTTAGGTCAAAAAGGAAAGAAACGAAAAGAAAGCTAAATCGGAAGCACTACCTATATTTTAATATTTAAAAAAACAATTAGTGCAAAAATAAAAACGAGGGAAAAAAAGAAAATGTGCATGCGGTGAAAACATTGCTTTTTTTTTTTTTTTTTTTTTTTTTTTTTCTAAAACAAATTATAATTTTTAATAGTGTAACTATTCTTAAAATTGTAAATAATACTTTTATGTTTTCTTTTATTCTATTTACTTTTTTTTGTTTTTTTTTCCTTTTAATTCTTGTGCTACATATGAATTTTTGGAAAATATGAAAAAATTAATAATAAAGCAAATTTTTTTTTATAATGATCCTTTAAAAAAAAAAAAAAAGTATTCAAACATATGAATAAATATGTATATTTAGATGCAAATGATCCAAAATATAGTATTGTCTGTATCAAAAAAAGAAATATACGATATTAAATAAATTTATCAAAATATGAAAAAAAAAAATAAATAACATACAGTATAGTGTGGTATGTAAAATTAATTTTAACTTTTTAATTTAAACGAAATAACATATAGTAAACATAAACTTCTTTTTAGCTAATTTTTTATTTGTCAACTTGTTATTAAACATTAAAATTTAAATATATCAAAATTTTCTTTTTCTCTCTAAAATTCTTTTAAATATTACCTATATTCCATAATTAAAATTTTTTTTTTTCCACTTTCTAATTTTATTAATTTTTTTAAAAATTTTTTTTTGAATAACTAGGAAAATTTTTTGCTATGAGTCCTTTTCCTTGAATAATTATTTTTTTTTTTTTTGCACTTCTTTTATAATATATATATTTAATAACTTTGATAAATTTTCTACTTTATATAATTATGTATGCAATGGCTATTGTATCATATTAATGAATTCGATTTCTTTTCTCTTTATTTTTTATGAAAGGACACTATATATAAGTACAATAAAAACATATATGGTGCAAAATTTTTTTTTTACATTTATTAAAAGCATTTATTATGTTGAAAATTTTTTTTCCTTAGAATTTTGCCTCTTATTTAGCTATGGATTAAAATAATATTTGTATGTTCTTTTATATAGTAAAGAAACAATACTTTTTTGTATATAAATGTATATATAAATATAGCACATGTTAAAATATATATAAATTTATTTAAAATTTTTTTTTATATTGATTTTTCCTTTTTTTCTTTTTTCCCTCTAATTCCTCTTAATCTTGATAGATAATATATTTACTATCTTAGGATTAAAGAAAAATCATTAACATGAATAAATAGTTTTTGCATGTGGTCTCTTTTATATCAATTTTTTTTTTACCTAATAATTCCATTTACAAATGGGAAAGTTTATTATTTCTCGCACTTCAAAATACTATAGTAAATATTATAAATAATTAAAAAAAAAAAAAAAATAGAGAAGTGAAAAAATTATAAATAGAACATTACTTAATAAAACTTTTTAAATAAGATTTCACAAGTGAACTACAAAAAATTTACACACAATGTTATATTTTTTTATGATAATGAATAAAAAATATATATATATATATTCATATTAGTATTTATATATATATAAACCTTTTTATTCCTCTTCTTTCGATTAATGTATTTCAAATATATTATGCTTTTAAATGAAAAATTATTACATTTCATCTTATATAACGGAAATTAAAGGCAAACATTGAAATGTTTTTTGGTCTAAAACATCTAAAGAGATTTATTTCTTAGCCTTAATTTTCTTTTTATTCATTCCTTACTTTTTTTTACCTTTCCTCTTTTTTTTTTTTTTATCTTTATTATTAATATTATTTATTAAAAGGTAATTGCATTTAATTTTATCTTTATATTTTTTCTTTTTCGCTATTTATTATGTATAAATAAAAATATATATCAAATGTTTTGTAGAAAGAACAAAAAAATATTTTATTATACTTAATTTAATTTTTTTGTTAAAAATTGCTATAGAAAAATACCTTTTCATTTTTTTTATTCATTTTTTTATTATATACTTTATTAAGTACTGATTTATTTGTTTTATATAAATATAATATATATATATATATATATACTTATATATATTTATATTAGTTTCTTTGTTTATAGATATCAGTGGCTCATATTTTTTATGAGTGCGTATATACTAAACTCTATTGTAGTTACGAAATTATTTTTTTTTTTTTTTTTTTTTTTTTTTAAT